TTCATTTAATTGTAAAATAGTTGGAAATTAGAAAAGTTTAGTATGATTCCTCGGCTTTTTAACGTCTACTCCCGTCAGATGAGTTTTTGTTGCTAAGACTATTATAGGGGGTATTAGTCTTTCAAACATCTTTCAAACTTTCTAGTGTTCGCCCCCTGTACTAGCCATTGTAATTTCATGCATTCATCTATTGTAATGTTCAGCTTTCAAATAATCAGTGATCAAGTTTATTTCAATGCATTTCAATTTCATGTTGTAAGCTTTCTTTAAATTGTGATTAAATTTCCTTTCGTCCCGAAACGACTGAGAGAAGGAGGAAGGTAGTCTAGCGGAGTAGACTACTGCTACACGGTATCCCTTTCTGTGCTAAGAAGAAAGGTAACCAGTGAAACATGGACTGGGCATTTAGTACATGTCGTCATTCCTGGATCCAAAGGGGAGTGTGTCCAATGAAATAATTTATTGTGATGCCAGTTATATATTAGGACTTGTTTGGTACATGGACTGAAAAAGATCACATCTTTCGTCTTTAATCATGTCTAAGTAATATCAAGCTAGCATAGTGAACATGTCCCAAAAGCTCAGTAATATCAAAATACGTGGTTAACCAAAAGTGCAGCAATAACACTCATACATGCCAAGTAATGGCAAAATTAACATGAACAATTCAAGTCAGTAGTAATCTCAGGATCTATATGATAATTAAGTGGCACACAAACACTCGATATTAAGATTGTCAAATGAAATCCATGGTTATATTCAAAATTAAGTGGTCCAGCAGAGCAGTAATCTAGCTCACAAAGTGCCCAACCTGAACTTTTTCGTGAATTAAACTATGAAAATGTGCACGATCCTGATTAGTGATGCCTATGATCTCCAGGGATTCAAAACAGAGAACCTTGACTAGAAATTCAAGTGCCGTGTACATAGATAATCCACATCCTCCCCAAGCCTATTTGGATCCTGATCTACTCCAGCATTCCTCGGGATCCCTTGTGATGAAAATGTGTATTACTTAGTTTCATCAATTCCTTCCTCCTCCTCCTCGCCTGAGCTGCTGCATTAGCATTTCCAGGCTTCTTACTAGAGAATATAACTGGTTTGTGGTGCTTGGCTGATAAGTCCTTGGCAAATGGAACAACTTTTACTTCAGTAGTGTCGTATAACTGGGAACTTTTACTTGGTCCAGGACTTGTAACAGATTTGTTAAAACTCAGTCGTGAGGGCGTAAGGTTGTTTGTAGCGATAATTTCCATTGAGTTAGAAGCTTCTGATTTCATTTTCTGGGATGATGTTAACTCGTAGTTCTGATCAGAATGTCTCACAGTTTCTGAACACGAAAGATTGATGTTTGGACCTATCGGATAATGAAGTGTAGTACTCAGGATGTGAAAAGGGAAGAACCAAGGTAATGGCACTACTAACAAGGAAGTTCCTTGTTCATCGATCCGTGTGGGATGTTCTTGATCTTGAAATGAACCTAGTATACCATCCCCCGAGGGAATAGGAAATTGAGATGAAATTGCGGTATCAGAGCGAGAGGAACCTTGTATCCCAAAAGCATTATCTGAAGGTGGAATGTTGGCTGGCCAAAGGTAAGGCACAACAGAAGAGTGGTCGTAAGGGAAAATCAGAGTGGTTGTAGGCGTAGAGATAGATACTTGAACCGATTTCTTCAGCTCTTTTTCAATTTCTGCTTCTTTGGCTTCTATTTTAGCCACCTGAGATTCGAAAGGTGTGTCAGCGCAGAAGATACTTCCATAAACAAGACAGGTATTCTTCAATATGCCTTACCTTTGCGCTGAGGTATTCATTTATGTTTTTTAATGACCATACTCCTTCACCGCCATCTCCTTCTCCTTCGTCACAACCAATCATGAACGATGAAATTTAAACAAGCATCAAATACTTCTTTATAACCGAGAAAAATGTCCAGAAAGAACAAACGTCATGCATAGATAGATATTTTTATTTTCGAACTGGTGAAAGTCGTGCCACCTACCTTCTTCAAGTTCTCATTCTCCAGTGACGGATTAGCTGCCTTCCTGATTAATTCTGTGTAAATAACCTAATCAAAGGAGAGAAAAATATAATGAGTGAATATTTTTCTAAACTTTATACAAGACATTTTCTCAATTCTCAATATTTTTATCCTCACAAATGAAGGGTGGATCAGGCCTCAGGGTAGGCTAAAGAGAAGAACGCAAAATCTTTAAATGAAAAGCTAAAACTCCGTCTTTCTAACTTACCCAAAAATAAATAATAAATAAATTATTGTGCAGTTGGAAACAAATTAAGCCGTGTTGTCGGTCAAAACTCGCTTATTAAGCCTCATTCGGAGGTAGTTTGCTAACGCTTTTAAACCCACCCATGAATCCTTTTTTTTCTGGTTTGCCTTCACATCCTTTGAAACAATACAAAATTGAATTTACTTTTATCCATTTTGTTCACATCTCAAAGATCTTAATCTCGGAGAAGCATTTTCATCTCTGCGTTGACAAATACACATAAACAACTACATGATATCACATTCAAAACAACAGAACAACCACTAACAATGTGTATTTTATTTGTCATTCGTATCCAAGCACTGAATCCATCAGCATCAATATGTCCTTCGTATCTTTTGTTTTCCCAGTATAAGTTAAAGTTCTTTTTCATTTTTGGAAAGTTTTTATAAATGGTTTAAACTATAAATAGATAAAGCGAGTTGTGACAAGTGGGTAGTACTAACGAGTTGTGACAGTGGATTGTACTTGTAGATCCCGTGTATAAAAGGTGGCTTGAGTGACATGAGCCAAGAATCCGTGATTAATAGTTATAAACTTTTACATTGACGAATGAAAATAGATCTATCAGAACTATACTTGATTGGATGGTAGACAAAGCTTACCTGTCTCTGGCGAATTGTCTTCCTAGCTGACACTCTGTTTGCTAAGATATGACGACACCTTCGTGCCTTTTTTGTTCTCAGCCTGATTGGCATAACAAAAATGAGTAAAGTACATAATGAGATAAAATCAAAGAGAGAAAATTACAAAATGTTTTAAGAGTCTCTCAAATTCTACCTCAACTTGCAGGATATGTTTTGACAAGATGTAGTTTTAAAACTTTTTACTCAATCATTACATAGTTCACTAACAAAGAAAGTGTATGTTATGTCATAATACACAAACATTGCTCTATAGCTGACCGCAGTATTTGTCAAAAATATGCAAAAAGAAATTATGAAAAGCGCATATTCCACATGCCGAACCACCTCAAAACCGGCTAATGCAGCCAGATTTACTCCATTAGCTCAAGCCCTGCACAAAGTAGCTCTGGTAACGTAACGTTGTTGTGAAAAATAGCATCCTACATATATTGAAGAAATGTTATTTATCACCAGTGGTGTTAGAGCACTAATATAAGTGGCTACACTTTATAGGTTTCATTATATGAGTCACGTATGATCCATCATTTAATATCGTGTGATTGTCACCTAGAATGGTATTTAACACGATGAATAGCATTACTCACATATATATAATAGAATGAAATTGTATGTATTATGTAATAGAGCAAATCATTGGTCAAAATCTCATAGTGGCCTCAAATTCCCACTTCCCGGAAATAAATACAGAATTATACATGTTACGCCTTGTCATCGAGGCTCCAATCACGTTGTACTCCATGTGAAAAGGAAAGTGAACAAAGACCCAATTGGTCAAATGCAAAAAAGGCAAACAAAGGCTAAAGCCCATTTGCCAAAGCACTGTCTAAATAGTTGAAACTCTTAAGCCGAAGCACTACATAAGAAATCAAAGAAGAAACCAAAGCTCTTCACACAGAGAACCACCAATATGAAGATCTCTCCGACAGAAGCTCTTAGTTCATCCGAAGTCCCTAAAGCTAATGATGTCTTTTGCAAGATTTGTGGGCAATCTAGTAATGATTGATATAATATTTGTAATAAAGAATGTCAGGTGTGTCAGTCTAATGTATAGGGCTATCGACCCGTTGTCAATGTATTTAATATATGATAAACTTAGTGACGTGAGGCTTTAGTTAAGGATATGAGGCCACATGGTTCCGATCTCCACGTTGGCCAAAACTCTATAAATAGGTGGTCTTTATAAATTGTAAATGATGGTTTTTTGGGTATTGATTCTAATATACAAGAATACATTCAAGAAATATACTCTCAATAAACCATTTTACTTGTTCTACATTTGTTAGTTAAGTTATTGACACTTTGTTAGTGATTGTTTGTCAGTGCAATCATTTTAGTCACTATTGTCGGTGCTCTCGTAAACATCTCCCACATTCACGTTCTCCCCTTCTCCGTTCGGTTTTTAAATCAAAAAGCTCCAAAACTTGCTTGAATTGGCTTGAGTGGACCCGACATCCGTTGTCCACGTTGTTACAAAAAATGGGGTCAACAAATTGTCACCGTATGTGAGAATCCACACATTTAACCATGAAAATCCGGTAGGAAAAAGCCTGTTGGAAGCAACTTTTACTATGAAGTGATTTTCAAGCCTGTGAAAAAAATGAGTGTTCATGAAAAAAGAGTCATTGAGAAAGTCCAAGATGAACCAATTGATTGAAAGCCAGTCTAATTCTTGAAAAAAGGAATATCATTTGCTTGGAAAAAGCTTATTATCATGAGTTCAAACAATGAAGATTATGCACTTTGAAGGGATATGGAACACCTTGAAGAAAGGGAACCATTGCATGTTGTCCTAGCTACTCGCCATCGACCTTACCAACAGCACGGATGAGGTGGCTCTAGGATAGCTGCTAGGCTTACTAGGGAGGTGGCCACAACTATGGCAAACATGATAACTATAACCCAACAAAATATAGTCATGTATGAGCTGCTAAGGAGCATACAGGGCCAAGGAGGATACCCAATTCCTCCATATGCAGCCCAAGGAAATGCATTTCATGATCTTTCACAAGGAACCTACTACCACAGTGAAGAAGAGGTCCAAAGCTAAATGACCGACTACCAACATTAGGCAAGGGATGGAGCTCTCCAGGAAAGGAAAGTTGTGGTTGATATATCTACCAACAGTGCCACTGACTGACCCACTAAGGTCCCATTCAACTTTTCTCCAAATTACTACCAAAAAGACATGGCCCAAAGGTTCGTTAGTGTCTTTAACAGGCTGAGCCCAGAGCTACCTAGAAATAGGCAGACTCAATCTCCTATACCTAGAAATAACCAGCATGGACATCCTTGGTTTGAAAGACAAAATGAACCAATTTATGACTATGTGCCTCGGAATCCTCCCCCTATAAATAGACGTGAGAGGAGAATGGAGCAAGATATGAGTCAGCAAGATGTTCCCAACCACCCCCAGAAACTCAGGTTAGGGGTACTTTATGCTCCCTAAAATTCCCAAGTATGATGGAAAGGGCGATCCTACGAAGCATCTCAATAGCTTCAAGACTCACATGAGCCTAAGAAGAGCAACCATAGCCATGAAGTGTAGAGCATTCTAATTAACCCTAAGTGGAGGAGCTAAAACATGGTATACCAAAACTTCTAGAAGAAAGCATCCGAAGTTGGCCAAACTTTAAGAAAAGTTTCCTTAAGTGCTTTATAACGAGCAAGAAAGGTGAATGATCAATACAGCACCTACAGGACATGAGACAGCAACAAGGTGAGTCATTGAAAAGCTTTATATCCCGTTTCACAGATGAAATAACCTACTGTGTGCAAGTTACAGATAGGGAAGCTTTGACAATTCTAAGGGAAGGACTAGATATGAATTCTCTCTTCTGGAGAGATGTGAAAAAACAAAGACACAACCAGTTATGACGCCTTACTGGAAATGATAAGGGGAGAGATCATCAATGAAGAATTGAGACATCATAGGAAAAGGGAAAACCAAGGACTCTCACCTTCTCAAATGCAAAAAGAAAGATGCCCGACCTCACACTTGATGGACCACTAGGTCGGACAGTCAACCTCCCTCAATCCAGGATAAGCATTGGCTATAACAACATTAAGTGCAATGCCTATTTTGGCTTATGTGGAAGTGAATCCTAGTACTGAAACATACCAGGCTGACCTTACCAATGATTCTCCCAAACAGGAAGATGTAGGGGACGAGGCACTGAACCTAGAAATAGAAACGAAGCGCCCTTCTATTGTATATACCACCACTCATCTAGCCACAACACTATTGGCTGTAGATATATTACAATGTACCTTTAGAATAACAATCAATGGAGAAATAGGCACCTCTGAAGAGACGCTCTCTTAGGCAAAACCAACAACCTAGGAATGTTGAGTCGAAGCGTCCCAATAGAGACAATGTCCCTCGAATAGTGATGGGCAAGACCTAGGGACAGTCAAAGGTAAAGAAAAAGCCCCCCAGCTAGTGCTGGCCATGAACCTATTAGAGAAATTGACACAGGTTTTGGAGGCCCATATGTTGGGGAAGAGTTTAGAAAATCCCAAAAAAACTATGCAATGGAAGCCACTTCTCAATGGCTAGCACTCTACCAAGAGAAGGGTTCAACCCATCAAGTTCACTCAAGATGACGTAGTTAGTGTACATTACCCACATTGTGACACCCTAGTGGTGAGGGCCATTGTAGCCCTCAACTGCCTAAAAAGGATGCTAATAAATAATGGAAGCTAGTCAATATCATCTTTGGAGCCACATTTGATAAATTGAAAGTTGACCACAAGTTGACACCAATAAATTTTCCCCAGTATGGCTTCACTAGCAATAGCATCATCCTAAGGGGTAAAATCACTCTAGCAATGGAAATGGGAACAATACCCTCAACTACTCATCATTTTATGGAATTTCTGGTGGTAGACAACCACTCCGCCTACCACAGAGTGCTGGGGAGGCCGGCATTAAAGAAATTATAGGTCATTACATCCATTCACTATTTATGTATAAAGTTCCCAACAGAACATGGCATCACCACAATCAGAGGCGACCAGAGGAGTGCAAGGAAATGCTATTCAAACACCCTTAGGAAAGTAGAACCAGAAGTGTCAATATAATCCTTATAAACATTGACATGGAAGACGTCCCTAAACAAGGGTAAAACCCTGAATAAGGGGAAGACATCGAAATAATGGACGCATCTGAAGAAAGGACGGTCCTTGGAGTCATAAATACCTCTGAAGAAGAGGTTGTCCATGAATCTAAAGTATCCATTGAAAAAATGAAGAGTTGTCAAAGAAGTAGATAATTTAGAGGAACGAGACCCGAGCATCATCGATTGCGAGCCTGGAACGACCTTAGCAGAGGAATTGGAAAGTTCCCAAGTAAATCCCCAGGATCCTTCCAAATGCTTACAGGTTGGAAAAAATCTGCTACTAGAGGCCAAGAAAAAAGTTGGAAGCATGAAGACATGGTTGGTATTGATCCAAAAGTCAGTTGCCATCACTTGAAAATCGATCCTAAGGCTAAAGGTCATAGACAGAAAAGGAGAACCCTAAATTCAGAGAGATAGGAAGACTTAAACGACGAAGTAAAGGAGTTAATCGACAATCGTTTTATTCGGGAATCAATGTATCTGAAGTCGGTCTCTGACCCTTTCCTAGTTAAAAAGCACAATGGCAGTTGGAGAGTTTGTGTGGATTTCTCAAACCTAAATCAAGCTTATCCTAAGGACAACTTTCCACTTTCTCAGATGGACTAACTAGTGGACTCGACAGCTAGACACGAACTACTAGTTTCATGGATACCTATTCCAGGTACAATTAGATCCCCAGATGTTTCCAACTGACGAAGAGTATACGTCCTTCATAATGAACAATGGTCTTTATTGCTATAAGGTCATGCCCAGGGGCCACTTAACAAAACTTGTCAACAAGATGTTTGCTTATCTCATTGGAGAAACAATGGAGGTATATGTGGACAATATGCTGGTAAAAAACTTGAAAGCAGATGATCATGTCAAGCATCTAGGTGAAACTTTCCAAATATTGTAAAGGTACGGGATGAGATTTAACCCCTCTTAAATACGCCTTTGGAGTTACCTCTGGAAAATTTCTAGGCTACATTGTAACGCCCCAAAATTTCATATATCTTGAGATATTACCAAACATAATTTCATGTACTTAAAATGCAGAACATTAAAATTCTATTTTTCTAAATAAACAAATATTCATAAATTTAAATTAAAATCATAAATTATGTCTTTAAACAACTTAAGCATTCTCAAACAACTAATAAATTTAAAAAGCGATAAAACTTAATATTCTAGTAGGGTGAAATACTCTGGTAGTCCTATTCACCATCCCACCACAGCTCCAATCGACCCGAACTAGCCTGTAAAAATTGTAAGGGTGAGTATTTTGAAAACACCCAGTAAGATACGTGCAGTTCTCATATGCAATTATATAACAATAAATTAAACACTTTATACCACATTCCTCTTATGGAGTATATCGGTGACCAAGCGACACACCAATTGTTTCTCATTTTGAATTCCCGAAGGATTTTACATTTCGTTGTAAAGAACCCAAAAGAGTTCACATTCCGTTAAATCGAACCCGAAGGTCCACTGAGTATAAGGAAACGAACAACTTGCACAAAAAGAATTTTATCTTGATTGATGAAACGAGCTTTTGATATAAAAAATATACTTAAAATTTACAGCTGCTTTCTATATGAAAATTGCTGTGTAAAATATTGTGTGGTGCATTGTGAGATTTGGGCACACTATAGGGAAAAATGATAGTTGAGTCATAGTAGAATTGTGATAAAACTCGTGTCTATCTAGTTTGATAAAAATTGAATACTCTATACATAAATCACAAGATGACACGTGTCCATCACAAAAAAAGAAAGGATTTCAATCTCAAAAGGTAATAATGACAACTTTGACTTTCAATATAAATTCTAATAAAATATTATTTTCACATCCATTCTCTGCACGTAACAATCCTCATTCAATTTCAATTCTATTTTAAAAATATAAATAAATTAAAAATTTCTTTAAATTTTAATATCTTGAGACCTGCTTATCTGAATTAACATTTTCTCGAGCCTATTTTCATGATTAAAAATGAGCTATCCAACGAGACTCATATTGATATATTTTTCGTCACTCTATCAAAAATCAAATATTTGACCCAAAACATAAGAATTTAATACTTTATTTTTAGTCCATCAATTTTGAAAATCATAAAATTGAATACAAAATTTTATTCTAAAATTTTCGGGGTGATACATACATGGTCAATCAAATAGGCATTGAACCCACCAGAGAAGATAAAAGTCTTGATTGAAAAGAGGTCACTTCATAAACCTAAAAGGTACAAAGCCTCATTGGACGAGTAGCTTATTTGAATCGCTTCGTCTCAAAGGCGATGAACAAATGCCTATTCTTCTTTAAGATTCCGAAGGGAGGAAATAAGTTCTAGGGGATAAAGGAATGTGAGGTAGTCCTGTAAAAGCTGAAGAAGCACTTGGGACATGCTTCCTTCCTCTCCAAACCCAAGGTTGACGAACCACTGCAGCTATACCTAGAAGTAATCCCCAATGTAATCAGTTTGGTTCTTACAAAAGAGAAAAGTGCTCACCAGCTACCCGATTATTATGTAAGCAAAGCACTTTTGGCAGCAGAGACTCACTATCCAGACATGGAGAAGCTAGTGTTCTCCTTGGTGACATCGTCCCGAAAATTGAGGCCATATTTCCAGGCCTACACCATACACGTGCTAACTAACTTCTCTCTCAAGCAAGTGGTGCAGAAGCCCAATACTTCGGGAAGGTTACTAAAATAGGTGATAAAAATTAGCGAGTTTGATATTGTGTTCAAAATATAGCAGATTTTGTAGCATAGTTCACCCATATTCCAGAAATAGAAGATGAGATTGAACCTACCGAATCTCCCACATGGAACCTTTTTGTCGATGGCTCATCAGGGAAGATTGGATCTAGAGCATGCGTAGTCTGGTTAGTCCAGAAGAACATGAGCTCAATTGTGCAGTAAGTTTTGGCTTCAAGGCCACTGACAACGTAGGACAATACGAGACCCTCCTAGTTGGCCTTAGATTAGCTATGGAAATGCAGGTAAAGAGACTAGTAATCAGCAACGATTCCCATGTGATAGTTATCAGGTTCATGGCAATTTCGTAACCAGAGATAAGTCCATGGCCGCTTATCTGAAATTCGTCATGGAGTTCATTCCAACTTTTAAAAAAATGGAGTTTGTAAAAATCCCACGCTCAGATAATGCTAACGTCGACGCTCTTTCAAAACTAGCAAGCAGTAAAGATTCTGAAATACACACTATAGTGCCCATAGAGCACTTTCCTAGGGTTCTACAGGATAATTGGTGATGTGGGTCAAAGATACTCCATTAAGGATGAAGCTATAGGGTTCATCAAGGACCAAACATTACCCTTTGAAAAAAAAAGAGGTACAAAAGCTCAAAAGACGAGCCGCTCACTTCGTTTTCCATGATGATGTGCAATATAAACGAGGTTTCTCCTTGCCCTTATTCCGATGCATAGGAGGAAAACAAACAACCTATGCACTCCGAGAAATTATGAAGGGGTATGTAGCAACTAATCGAGAGGATGGTCCTCAACACAAAAGGTGTTAAGACAATGATATTATTGGCCTACATTGAAAAGGATGCACATCAGTTTGCAAAGAAATGCGATAAGTATCGATGCTTCACAACAATTCAAATGCAGCCTTCTCAAGAACTAAGCATCGTTTCTAGCCCATGCCATTTGCCAAATGGGGGATTAATTTTATAGGCCCCCTACCTAAAGAGAGAGGCAATTTCAATTTTGCGATTGTCGCCATTGATTACTTTACCAAATAGGTAAAAGCCGAACCCCTTTCCAAAATCACTGAAACAAATAGTTCTAAATTCCTATGAAGAAAACAATTTGTAGGTTCGGAATTTTCCATTCAATTGTCTTGGATAATAGGCAAAAATTCAACAACAAGAAGGTCAGAAACTTATGTGAGGAGCTTGGCATTAGGAAACATTTCTTCTTATTACATCACCCTCAGGCTAATGGGAAAGTGAAAGCTATCAAAAAGACAATCAACTACATGCTGAAAAGAAATTTAGATGCTTCTAAAGGGGTTTAAGTCGACGAACTACCTCAATTCTTATGGCCCATCTGAATTACAAGCAGAACAGCTACAAGAGAAACTCATTTGTCTGTGGCTTATGGAATAGAAGTTATGAGCCCAATTGAAGTGGATCTATCATCTCTTCGTCACATTCATTTGAATGAAATATCTAATGACAAGTTGAGAAGATGCAAACTAGATCTCCCTAAAAGAAATAAGGGATGATTCTCAAGTAAAATTGGCTATCTACCAAAGAAAAATGACTAGATACTACAATTCTAAAGTTAAGAAGTCATTTCTCTTGAATCAACTAGTGCTTCGGAGGGTATTCTTATCTTCTAAAGAGCACAGGGCAAAAATCTTTGATCCAACTAGAAAGGTCCCTACGCATCAAAGAAGAGGTTCGGCTTGGAACTTATAAAATCGAAAATATTGATGAAACGTCACAGCCTCATCCATGGAACGCGGAACATCTACAGAAATACAATCAGTAAGAATGTAAATATACAGTTTGTATAGTTCTTGATACAATGAAATTGACTTTTATTAAAGCATTTTGTAGAGAAAAAAAATCTTCCAGCGACAAAAGTTCTGGGAGAAGCGACTGCATATATGAACCGTCCCTATGCAAAAAAGCTTGGACACTTCAACAAAGAGCTGGATCCTAAAAGGTACAATTTCCTTACTCGCGAAGTGGACAAGACATGCCCTTGATGACAAAAGTTGTTAAGGAAGCCTTACGGGCTACCAAGAGTTGTGCAAATTGCAAATAAACAAGTTTCAAGAAAAATTCGAAGTGCAATAAAGCGTAGGATCATACATAAACGCATCAAATGAGCACAAATGTCAAGTTGGAAAGGTAAATAACCTTCTAATACTTGTACAAAATTACAAATTTGAATAACAAATTACAAACGAAACAGGCTGAAGAGTATGGCAAAGCGGTAAAATAAGCAGAAAGTACAAAAAGTAAATGAAAGGCGAGTACATAGACAAAAGAAAAATTTATTCATTGAATAAATAATTATAATGGTGGGCCGAAAACATATTATATGGAAAATAAGAAAGAAAAACCTGTCAGCTAAACAGGTGAGAGAATGGGAGCTACAAAGATAACACGGCTTCAGAAATTTCTTTAGCAGCATTGTCTTCAATCTCGATCATGTGGCTACCCTCTTCGGAGTTTGAGGCTCTTGTTCTCCCTCTTCCAGAAATTCTGACCACAACTCAGAGGTATTGATGGTTTGAGAGTAACTTCAATCCATTCCATTATCTCGGTGTAAGCATACCTCCGCCAGTATTTTTCGAGCTTTGGTATGCCTCCGTTAGGTAGAAGTTGGCAATACATTGCTTTACAACATCATTACCAGCAAATTAAGCTTCATGTCTAGCGGTCTCAAACTCCTCTGTCAAGCTAGAAACATTAACGTTCAGCTCCCCCACCCGCTGCTTCAAGGCAGCATACTCCGTATTTGTCTTCTTCAAAGACTTAGCAACCAGCCCCTGATGGGTGTTAGAAGTCTCCACCCGCTTCGTCATGGAAGTCGCTTCGCTTTGGAACAAATGGATTTCCTTCTTCTGATTTTCAATCACCGCCAATGCCGAAGCGAGCTTCATAGACTCTTCAGCCTGCTACTTCATTATTGCATCAGTCTTTGCCTTGCTGGCTGCCTCCCCAGCCTGAGAGGCTTTATTTGCAAACTCTTTATTTTTATTTTAAAAGTATTTAAAGAAGGATCCAGCCTCTATAGCCACCTTAAAGGCCATTTCCGTTGGCTAACCATGGTGGCGAAGAGGTACACCGCATCGCTGGACTCCACGAAGCTCTACCACATATCCATCCAGAACTTGTGAAATGTGGATGTGGCAATTTGAACCTCTGAAGAAAGCAAGGTCAGAACCTCTGGAGCCAGTTCGTCGCTTATTTGGGAGACTATAAGTTCTTGGCGAGCTGAGTCAAAAGTCGTCGACCCTCTTGAAGCCTTGGCCCTCTTCAACGACCCATGCCCTGAAGGCTCCATAGTAGTTGGCCTCTTCTAGCCCCCTTTTGCTATAGCTATTGAAGCTCCCATCATTTTTTCCCCAGTGGGGACTTCGGAGCAAAGGATAGGGTAGCCATTGACCTACCATCTCCGATGGCGGAAAAACGATATTTCTTTTTGGCGACTTCCTCCACTATCTTTTTACCTTTGTCCTTTATGGGAAGACGTCTTTATCCCTCTTGGCTACCGCCACCCGACTAATCTTATCAACTTGGTTCTTTACCCATTTTGCTATAATAGATGAGGGTTTGAACCCTTTCCTCACAACAATGGAGGTGGCGCAAGGATCGTTGCCATATCGGGGATAGGATGCCTCATCTTCTTGAAGTTTTCTACAAAAAGAAAAACAAGGTCAGCAATAGTGTATATAAAATAGCAAAAAACTTGTTCAAGTTAGCATTACCTCTTCATGCCATTAAGCAAAATTCGTCAAAGAAACGTTTGGAGTTGATTAAACTATCAAACTCTCACGAAGATGAAAGACATCGGTAGATGTCCCCAGCAACCTCCAATTCACTTCGACTGAGCTCGAAGCGCTCCATTGACCCTGCAAAACATCAAAAAAAATGTTAAGATCAGAATCATCATTAATTAACAACAAGTGCAAGTACAACACTCACGAGCTTCTAACTAGGAAGTAGGAATTGTCACATGGGAAACCGTGTCACAATTGTACTCTTGACATTTCCTCTCACCCAGAACCACGTCTCCTTATATCCTTTGATAGAGGAGAAAAGTCCAAAGATGAAAGGAAAATGTGGCCCCCATAGACATAATGAGTACCAACCCTTGGAATCCCCTTCTACTAAAAGTAGGTTCCCACTAACTGGACCCAAGCATTGGGGACGAGTTGGGTGGGAGCTACCATACAATCGTAGAATGGCTCTAAAGAAGGGATGAAGAGGTAGACGACGTCTTGCTTTAAGGAGGAACTCCCTGACGGTGATACACCCCTACCTCGAAAAGCAAGCTTGCTCATCGGGAGAGGGGAACCGAAGTTCAATGTCATAAGGGATACGATATTTTTGCTTAAGTTTGGTAGGTAGGATACATTTATAATTGAAGGAATTTTGGCTACCTAACAAGCCACCTGATGTGATCCGGACAAGGCTTCAAAGAGCAAAGAATCGAAGTACATTTAGGAGGAGTCAAGGTCGAGCTTGGGAAGGAGTCAGGGTTCGAATCAAGCCAAGAAGCCATGTAATCAAGTGATCAAGCCACAAGGTTCACCGGGACGAAGTTGACGAGCCACTGGACAAGTTTCATATTGGGGTCAATGGCTGCAACGAGCTTGAAGGCGTCAGAATCGAAGTTCAAAGCATGGGAGCAAAATGGAGAACCATGCGGCCACATGGCTTGCGGCTGAATGGTTTCCCAAGCCATGCAACAGCATGGCTAGCACGCGAAAGTTTCATGGGCAATTGGCTTTGTCCATGCTGCCGCAAGGGAAATAACCATGCGGCCACATGGGCCAATTTTCTGGCGAGAATTTTCAATTTTTATTTAGTTTCCTAATTTGATTCAATTACCTTCCTTTAGTATCTTTTAGCATATTTTGGGCCCAATTTCGTGGCAAATAGGGTTTCCTTAGTTTTCATATGAGTACTTTGCATTATTTCATTGTAAAAAAGCTTTTGACATTATTATAAGAATTATACAACTTTTGTGTGATTTATTACTCCAATTTTCTTATGTTGTTCCCACTTCACGGTCCTTGTTTTGGGTAATCAGCGGGTTGGATTTCTTAGCGTAATCTCGGTTCTTGATACAAGTTGGGTTGATCTTTGCGCAACATGATTTCTACCTTTTTTGGGTTGGTTCCATCTTGTTCGTAGGTCCCAAAATCAATTCTTGGCTGAGTTATCTAGATTCCAGGTCATCTATCCTTTACTTTTTGCCAATTATTCTTATTGTTTGAAAAAAAATTTTTTACTGTTCATCGTATTATTCACGTGAAAAGAAAAATACAATTTGGGTTGTTCTTGTTTAAGTCATTCTTTCCCATGTAATTTTTTTTTCCCTCTAGATTGTAGTTAGTTGTTTATTGAAAAAAAAAACAAAACAAAAGTTACTGTCCACGTCTACTGTTCACGTGAAAAAAAATACTCTACACTTCGTGAACATCTAGAGGCAATACAAAACAAAACAATATAAATTCGAGTTATTTTGTTTTCTTTACTTACATTTGAATCCATTACCTCAGTCTGTGCCAAAAATTATGTTGATTATTCGAGACTTGTACTTGTCGTGGTGATCGTTGCGGGATTGAGTCATATTTGATTGAGATAAGTTTTCTTGAGCCATTGAGAAAGGAGGACGAGCTATAAAAGGCAGAGTGGTGAGCTCATTATCGGGTAGAAGCCAATCTTGAGTGATACACGAGTGCAAACACGTGAGGTAAATTGTTTCGTTCTTTTTATTATTTCTTTTCATTTAAATTCTAGTTGTTTTCTTAATTGAAAATCGAAAATATGAGTAAAGGCGAGGACGAAAAGGTACCTAAGGGGTTTTATGCGAAGTTTATGGATAGTATGCATGCTATACATAGTAGGTTTGATCAATTGGGTTTGGCGGTTGAACGTATTAGTGGCGATGTAGCTAGGCATGAAACTTTGATTGGGAGTCAACAACGAGGGACGCCCCAAAGGGTTCCTCGTGGGGGTAGAGGAGATAGGCGAGGATGGAATCTTATAGCTGAATTTGATGGGGAAGATGAGGTGATGAGTGTAAGAAGTGATGATTATTATTTGGAAGCTGATATGGGACGAATGACGACTAGAGGAGGTAGGTTTGATCGATGGGTTGATGGAAATTTTGAAGCATCAAACTGAACATTCCAGCTTTTTAAGGTCGGAGTGACCCTGAAGCTTACTTAGAATGGGAAAAGAAGGTAGAATTGGTGTTTGATTGCCATAATTACTCGGAAGAGAAGAAACTGAAGTTAGCGATAGTGAAATTCACTGATTATGCTAT